TATTTCTTGGTACAATTCTTATGTGATAATATGACCTTCGTATCACTTTTTTTTATCTCCTTTTCTACCACAGATATTTTACGACTTTTCTTTTTGTATTTCATTTATTGTATTTCATTTATTGTACTACGTTTCAGATTCCTATCTAGTCTGCAAACTATCAACCACTTTATGAAACCTGCGCAGCGCACATCGAAGATTCAGAATTCAACTTGCGTAGTATCAGCTGAGAAACCTTCAGCAGTAATTCAGTTATAAAATCAACCTTGGTAGCTCCAATTATCTAACAGTGAAAAAAAGACTTGAAGAACTCTGCGGTGCTTTTATTTTAGCAAGAATATGATTAACAATAACAGAATTAAAAAATTTTATAATTCGAAAGTCCGTCACGGCTGGTTGCAGATACCGGTTCCGGTTCCGGTTACAGAATACAGAAATAAAATAAGACTCCAACCAGCAGTGAATGATGTAAAGAGCTCAAGAATATTTATTATTTTTGTTATATATGTATTTATTTATCATCATACTTTATAGACATTCATAATACTACTGTATTAATATATAATGTTAGTATAAATATTTAATATATGTATGTAGATTTTATCTGGTATTAGAAATATAATATTTATGATTCTTTAATTTGTACTAAATTGCAAGAATAAATAAATACTATTTATAAATAAAATAATGTAAATGTAGATAAAGTTTAATAATTGTTGCTGAGCTTAATAATTGTTTTAGTGAAGATATAAAACAAACAGGATATAAAACAAAGTCTGAGTATAATTTATTATAAGAAGGAAAACGAAAATTTACAATTAGTAATTTGTCAATGTATCATATCGATAATAAAAATTCATCACAGAATACACATGATTTCATATCCTATAATTGATGAATATGACAATGAAAGCATAAGTATCATAAATATCACAATAAATTATGATTACAGAGAGATCGTTAAAATACCTTATATTCTAGAAAGCTGTTGTAATAAATTAGAAGGTAAAATTGCTTCCAATTTATCTAGAATATAACAAAATGGATGAGAAAACCAGACAAGCATTGACCGTGCAACTACACCCATAGTATCGGGATATTGATGTGTTAAAAGTGCTAAAAGCGCGGTAAAGGAGCACAGACCTGCTGTAAACAAAATAAAAAAGGGCAACTCCTTTTTAGGATAAACGCTAACATCGTGAAATGACGGTAACAATTCACGATCTGCACATTCAGTGCATGTTGGATATGGATAAAATAAATGTCCCCTTTCTAAAGGATAAGGTAACATTCTAAAAGTACCTTCCCATGTACAATGTAATAAATTAAGAGCACCTTCCATTTGTTTCCAATGTGCAAGATGGAAGAATGCATAAGCAATTGCTTCAGAATCCCCTCTTTTTAATACATGTTCTGGAGGCAAAATTAAAGGTTTCATTTCTAATAAATATTTAGGTACATGAGGATTAAATTCAACAGCTCTGTGAATAGCTTCAACTGCTATCATTTCTGGAGTAGTTAAACCTCTTTTACTAGCAATATCTGTTGAAAATTTATCAGCAACTACTCTTGCTTTTAATAGTGCAGCTGTATAACAAATAGTTGCTGATTTTGGTAAACTAATATCATCGTATTTTGCTAATACTGCTTGAACATCTGCATATGCTTGCATTTCTAATAAAGCTTCAATTAAATTTTCATGAATGTTTAATACATTCATAATTGGTGGAACTTCTTTTGTCAGATCTCTAAACATTTTTACTGCTTCTTTCAATTTTCCTAATTTTCTTGCACACATAGCTAATCTTCGTTTAACATAAATTAAAACATTTGTATCTCTTCTGTGTATAGCCTCTGCAATAGCTCCTTGATGTTGAGTACTTTGAGATTTTCTATAATTGTTCTCTGCTACTTTCAAAGCTTGCTTTAAAATTTTTTCTGCTTCTACAATAGTAGTAGCTTCTTCTTCAGCAAGTAAAATATATGCAGGAGCACAATCAGGATTACGCTCAAGGGCACTGTGTGCAGCTTTTATTCGAACTACTGGATTTCGCTCTCTCCAAGCTGTTTGCATAATTTCATACTCAGCTTTACCTATTAAAAGTAAACAATATTTGACAATATGCTAATTTGTAATAATTTTATAATATTACTTAATCAATATTTACCTGTATCGCCTTCACAGGTAAAAAATGTTTGATGATCTTGAGCAGACAAGTTCATATCATAATATGTTAATGGTTCTTTGTTCGTAGCCCAATAAAATCTTTGATATTCAGCCCCTCTAAATAAATTTATTGGATTACGCCAAACTTTACATTCTGGAACATTTTGTTGATTTGAATTCGAACCATTTAGACTTGAATTATTGCCATCTGCTCCACTATCACCACCACCAATCCATGGTGAAATATGATTTAAAGATACTTGTTCAATAAAAGATGTGCCATATTTTCTAAAATACCACCATTCAAAAATTAGAATTAATCCAGAAATCAAAGATGACGTTCCAGTGAGTGCAACATAAAATTTTGGGGTTAAGGTGCTCAAAAACATTGTAGAATCCCACATGCTTGTGAATAATAGGGCCATTTATAATACAACACTGAATGTATTATTTTTGGACCGTTCCTGGTTGCACTATTATAATAATGTTGCATAAACAGTTTTTAATTAATAAGCATCGTAACACCGTTAACGTTTTTATTGTGTTCTTACATTACCCAGAAAACTTGTTTTATTATATTCTAACTAATAAAACTAAAAGACAGATATAATCTCAACATTTACACATGTTTCTTTGATATTTGAAACAATGCGTAACTGTTTTCATCGTACTTTTATATTTGGTAGCATTTATTTTGTCTGAAGTTGTCGAAATCAGAACATTGCAACGAGATTTTTCGAGATTTGTAAAGCTTATTGATGCCACGATTCTTTCTAGAAACGTTTTAAACTCTATAATTTTTGGCTGCAGATAAATATCGAAAGAAAAGTATTATCGATCTAAATAAGCTGTAATGTTATTTTTATTTTGTAATTAGCATTGCAATATCATCGTTTCTTGACGCAAACATCAAGCAATGTAAGTAGATTCGCAAACGTATTAATAATTTCAAGATTATAATTATACAATATTCCATATGATGTATTGACATTACAATTATGTTCGTCTACAATTTAAATATAATGGTTGTGCGAAAAATTAAACAGATATAAGATCACTATTGTATTTTAAAGATCTAATTTAAATTTTCCAAATTTACTACTATTATAGCGATTGTGATAATTTATATTTGTATCACAATGCTATAAATAAATAAATAAATAACTCCGTAATTGATTTTTGTTGTTTATATAAAAATACCATTATCACAAAATATACAATTACTAATAATTTAATGAAGTTTACATAATAGAATTTAAATGACGAAATAACGAAATAACGAAATAACGAANTATGGCTACAATATATATAAGTGGCAGTAAACATTTCCATGGTGATAATAAAATTAATAGCTATTTTTAAATACTCTATTGTTTATATTAAATATACATCTCGACGGAACATAGATGTCGTTGATCTAAATTCTTCGAAGTAGAGGTCGCTACACTATTAATTTTTGTAGCGACATCTATACTCTCCGCGCTAAAATCAACCGCGTGTATTTCCGTCATATGGAACGCACACATGGGCGTAGTAAACATCGTTTTTTTTTTTTTAATTATCTTGATATTGTGTTTTTATATTTTATAATGCATCTATGTGTCACACGTTTTAGATCCCGAGGTCACAGAGCTCGTATGGAGAATATAACAAAACTGTTTTAATTTCTGTTAGATTTCAAAGCATAAAAAACATAAAAAATGTCTGGTCTTTCTTGTGATCAGTATCTAGAAATCTTCCTTTAATCAAGTTCATCCTTCTAAACGTCTTTTCTGTTATAATATTTCAATTGTTTTTCTTAAATAATAGGCATGCGACATCATTGTTTTCTTTTTGAGCAAAATCATTATTTAAATATGTATCGAACTTAAAAATTGTATAAATAAACACCAAAAAGATAATGCAAGATATATTACAGATACACAATATTTAAAAAAGTTTATATTATTTCACATTACACTAAGAAAATGCTAATTATATGTATATCTTTGACCTAACACGATGGATTTCATTGATCCATTAAGATCATACTGTTTATCATGGTAAAGAAAAATATTTTACTATATTTGTGCAAGTTATTTACCACTTAAATGCAGTTTATGGAATAATATGATAGATAATGACAAAACTACTGTCAAAGTAATTGGCATAATTTGTAAGCGTACTTTAAATATATAATTATCAATTAAATGTATAATTATCAATATAAATATATAATTATCAATATAAATGTATCAATTGCAAAAACAATGTTAAAAAATCAATGTAATGTATAAATAAATTGAAAAAATCTTAAATGAACATAAAACTTCTTTTTTATCAATTTTAAAAATGTTTAACAACGAAATATTTTTTCAAATTGTTACTTAGTTTAATTAATTATTCGTATATATTACATTTTTTCGTGGTTTCTTTATCAGTCACATGATCGCACCTATTCCTCTAAAATTAACGTTATTGAAAGTTAATGCTCCTACAAAATTTTCTCCCCACGTTACGTAAGTGAGGAGAAAGAGAGATAAATTATAATTTATATCGTGTATATTATTAATGGGTGTCAATCATTTAAATATATACATATAATTGAGATTATAATTTTGAATGCACACACTGTATGTAACAAAGAAATGATATTTGGTTTTTATCGAAAGTTTATTTGTCGATAGCCATTTGTTACCCAAATGAACGTTCAGCTCTGTTTACGTATATCGGTTTGATAATTAATAAAAAGCCAACAAGTATGTCGTAAATAATAAAAAAAAAATATATATATATATGTATGTAGATTGTGAAGAAGAGTTTGATATTGCCGCCCGGCCTGCGCTTAGCTAAAATCAATGAGTCTACCCGGCGAATGTGTCAGTGCGACTCCACCAACGTCGCGTCGAATCTGTGGTCTGTCTTCCCTGTTCTGTGACTTTTCCTTTCTTTTCCTACAAAATTCGTATTATAGTCTATTGAGAATCATGTAAGATTAGATATCGATATGCCTAGTCAAGAAGACATGGACCTTTGTACCGACAAGGTACTGTCCAAAGGAAGAATACTTCAGGAATTAACCAAAGCTGTCAAATTGGTAAGTACTGTCTGCTTCGGCATAGGGACGACGTATCAAGGCCATACGTTGTCTATATACATATACATATATATATATGTATATATATCCACTTTTCTAACGCGAATTTTTATATATATACTGAATTAACGGCTCCTCTGAAACTCTTCTTTAAATGATTTAGATAGATTTTTATTCCTTTTTCCTCGCAGATAAATACGACTTTACTTGAAATATTTAACTATGACGAAACTGCGGTGGCACGCACTTGCACGCTGTAGTGCGTGTATCAAACTTTAACAGTTAAATGCGTTTTATTGTCTTTATTGTTTTTGAACGCGAAACTGTGTTGAAGAAGTACATGTGCTCCTCTCGTCATCATGATTTCCCGTTTCTCACTTGCAACTTACTCAACATCTTGTTCCACGTCGTGGCTCCTCCACTGACGTACGTGCTTTTACCTCTTTGTTCGTATTATTGTCAATCAATTATTATTTCATTGTTGTTCGATGAAATCCTCGGTGATCGATAAATCTTGATTTCGTCATTTTGTGAACTATTTCACGTTTTCGTAGAACAATCAAGTTACTTTCAATATCTTAATCGTGATTACTTGTTGTTGTTAATGCCCTAACTATTTAACATTTAATATTTTATATTGTTTAATGTAATGTTTATAGTAATAGGAGTCATTAAACAAGTATAAATATGTTATATTTCTCTTTAAAAAATATTCACCGAGATATTTAGTTATTTTAAATTAACATAGCATAAGTATATAATTTTAATGTTAAGAGTAACTTCATCACACTGACAGAAATTTAGACTGAAATGGAGAACATAGATAAATTTGTATATTAAAGTTATCAATGTTAAAAGTTAGATCCATCTACTTTTTGTAATTAAATAAACAAAATTTATTGCTTATATTTACTAGGTTTACGCTCAAAGTTTATATGGTACAGTAGTCTTAGATGGAGATTCATGGTTGGTCTACTGGTTAGATAGGGCTTTACGTCATGGACTGCGTACAGAAAGACATGGATATTGGGGCACTGCTCGTGAACTTAGTCATCAGGATACTGTTGTTGTGATTCATGCTCTTCAAAGTGTATTAACTTCTATCGGAAAAGGTAAATTGGACAAGTGGATTTAGCATTGTACATTTTATTAATATTCATAAAACAAGTTATAATGTATTTTTATGTTTTCTAGGTAGAGCATGGCTTTACCATACTCTTAGCGAAGGCAGCTTTGAAAGTTATTTAGCCTGCTTATTACGAGATACGAAAACATTAAAGAAACAATATTTTCCACATGCACTTGTACGAGATGCAGATAAAACTAACCAATTAGTTAATCTTCTTGCTGGTTTAGAAAATGTATCTTTTACATTGCAACTGGTATGTAAAATTATTTTCTGAAATATTTATAAAATGTTAAGAAAATTTATTGTATGATATTATTTTTCAGTTCAAATTTTTCATATTATAAAGATCAATATTCCATGTATTTTTACAATATATATATATATATATATATATATTGCATTTTATGTTCTTTTATATTATATACATATATCCAATTCAAACTAATGACATCCACATACATATAATCGTCGTATTTTACATAAACATGTTTCATAATATTTATTTTATGTTCCCTATGTTGATATCAGTATCACCCCATGGTTACAATTATCTCAACAATGAATTATGTCTGTCATTTAGAGTTGTATATTGAGATGAATCTGTTTTTATGAATTTAAGGGGCAATAAGTTATCATACATATAAATCTATTTTTCATACATATATATTTTATTTATCTTCTCTGTTTATTTATGGAAAGTCCCATTGCAAACAATTTGTAATTACAGATTTTTATTTAGAATTACAGATTTTTATTTAGAATGTGTAATTTTTATGATGTATTCCTTTTGTTTCATTACTAATAAAAATATGTATAAATTATTTAGAAATTAAAATAATAAATTGTAATTGTTTGTCACTTAGGATGTCACATACCTTGATATTTGCAATTACATGCCTCAAAGGCCTATGAGTGTGAATCCTTCTGGAACTATATTATCATTACATCTCAGATCATCCAGTGTTTCTTCGAGTTTAGCTTCTCCTGGTGATAGTGGAATTGCTTTTGACAGTGATATGGATCTTGCTAATGAAACAGATGCTAGTAGTTACAAGGAGGTACAGTTTTGTAGTAAAATTTATGTTCAAAAATATAAATCTTTTTTTTCGTGTAGATTACACACCCATTCGTATTTTTAGGAAGATTTTCATTTGGAAGAAACTCCAAGGTATCGAAATAATAGGTACAAAACAATGATAAACAACTGTAGAGAAGACAATAAAAATTTCAGCTCCAGTGATTCTAGCGAAGATGGAAAAACACCTACACAATCACCAGGAATGGTTACCAAATTTCAAACTGCGATGATGACGAAAAGTGATATAGCGAATCAAAATTTAACTAGAAAACTTGATGATAATGAGCTTAATTGTTCCAGTTTGGATACCTTAAAAGGTTACGATTTTTATAGTAAGAGTTTAGATGAGTCAAAATTAGATAAAATAAGTAATAAAAATGATAACGGAATTAAAGAATTGAATAAAAGAACTACGTACTACAGCGATGGTAGTTATAGTTTTAAAAGAAATATTGATCCCCGAAATTCATATGTAATCAACAATGATACAAATCTTTTAGAACTTAGTATGACGATTTCAGATTGTGAAAATACAGAACCACCATATGGTATTTTGAATACTATCAATGTGCCCGATGCCAGTATTTTATCATCTTCTAGCTCTGAAGCTATAGTGCAACGTAGGCAACGCAAAAAGAAACGCGGGGAAAGTAAAAAACGCGTCAGTTTTCATGAAGATATTTTAAAAACGATGAAATTGGATGATGATGAGAATTACGCTGATTTTTCTATGAGCTTTTTAACACCTAATTCGGTTCAGAAAAAAGATGTGCAGAAAGGAAGATATAGTTGGTGCGCTCATGGAGATTCTCCGTATGTTCAAAGAAATGTTAATCCCAGAAATGCACATTCGGATTATTATTCTTATTCTTCATCATCGAGTGTGTTTGATAGTGATTGTGAAAAGAAAGGATTATCAAAGAGTTGCGAACAGGTTCCATGTCAAACTAATTGCAAGTGTGCTTGTGGATTGTCACTTTCAGAGAGAGGCGCGCCAGAAGGCCAAGAAGATCCTGGTAAAGCGTTCAGACCAAAAATGGAAATCGAATTAGAAGAAAATGAAGCACAAGAGGCATACATTATTGAAAAAGAATATGGAAATATTGTAGAAGATCCTCCAACGAAAGTTCAAATGCCTTGTCCATCTAATTCGAAAAAATCTAATTCTAGCGATTGGTCGGACGTTGATAATACTACCACATCGGATATGGAGGAACGTAGAAGTAACAGACATTTAGCTTCACCATCAAAAAAACGTAACATGACATCAATACTAACAGGAGAAAATAGCAACAAATTATTAGCACCTCCACCTTTAAGACAAGCCCCGTCTAAAACATCGTTACTAAGCAGATTTCTGAAATCTATTACAGAGAGAAAATTCGAGGTTAAAAGAAATAAAAAATCACAAAAAACGAATCCTTTGTACATCAAAGGTGTTAAAACGAGTTATGATTCTTTTAAAGAATTTAATGATAACCTAGATCGAGAAATACAAGAGAATGTGGCGGCAGGGAAACAAGAATTTAGTGGAGAAAAAGTTAGCTTAAAATTACGAGAACTTTTTAAGAAACATATTTATAGAGATAAAACGGAAGAATTATATAAAGTATATAAAGTTAGGAGTTCGTACATGACAAATGGGGAAAGTAAACCAATGATTGCTTTATTAACAGATAAAACGTTATATTTAACAGGTTTGAAACCAGACCATACATATAGTAATCAATTCGTTATTCCTTATAACGAATTAGATGTTATTATGGTAAGTTTTGTAAGTTTAAGTACTTGCAACGTTTAAATACTATAAATAAGAAATATTTCTTCCAGGTTGGACCAAATGCACAAACAATATTATTGTCAAATGCAGATTACGAAATGCAGTATTTATTTTCTACGGGAAGTTCTCAAACAACTTCAGAGTTAATTGCTCACTTGGAGATGGCTATAAGAAGATCTCCAATAAAACCAAAACTTCCAGCAGTTAAAGTATTGAGCTACGAAGACATGCATATTTTAAGGCATTCTGTCCTATGTGATACTGCTGTCCATCCTGTATGTAAATTTTATTGTCTTGAATTAAGTTATTAGTTTTCTTCTTAGCTATTAGTCTAGTTAAGAATTACTAGCTTTCTGTTTTTCATTTTTACGAATTGTTGTAATTTAACATTTTAGGATGAAAAAATTGAACACTATAATCTCATTTATATGGAAGATGATCATATGTCACCACCTAGTACACCATGTGGTCCAACAAAAGAAGGCGATCTTATGTACAGACCACATACGTATCAACAACTTCATCCTAATGCTCCAACCAATCCATGGGAAGCTGGATACTTTGTTCTCAAAGGTGGAGTTGTTTACATGTTTACGGATGTAAGTCAGCGATTACCGAAACGAGCAATTCCATTGAAAGGTGGACTTTGTCAAGGATGTCGAAGAATTCCCAATTCTCATCGGCCTCATACGTTTGAGATACTTTTAAAGCCGAATAAAGCATTTCAATTTGCTGCTCCCGACGAATACGCTGCATCCGAATGGTTACAAAGCTTTGTTCAAAGTGCTTCTGGATTGTTCGATATTACGGAAAAAAGAAAACCTTTGCCATGTAGTCTTATTACAACTACTAAACATTTAGTAGCTATGAAAGAAGTATTTCCTGGTAAACAACGTGGACAAACACTTTCTTGTGCTTCTGTAGAAGATCTCACAGCCTTCAGAGTACCTTTAACTCAACAATCTTGGTGTATACTGGTATGTATTTAAAATTATGGACAGTTCTATAATTTTTATTTTATTTCATGTTATTTCCAGGAATTTGCATGTCGAGAAGTACATGAAAGTAGTGGCGATTGGGTTATATATTTCACAAATTACACAGAATTATGTACCTTTAGAGAAATTTTAGAAACATTATGGGCTGATGCAAGTTTGGTACGAACTTTCTTATTCTCAATTGTTACGAGATATAAAAGTGAAGATTACATTCCATTCATTAATATATAATTTAAAATGATTCATATTTCGACAGGGTGAATTTCCTATGGTGACGCTTCCGCCAGAAGATAAGCTTCATCGACGTTGCTCAGATGCCAGTAAAGAACTAGAGCTTGCATGGCGATATTTATTACCTACAGTAATCGATTAAACAATAAGGCGTACCAGTAGACAATAGCTATTGCATCGTCATATCTAGTAGTAGAAATTATGAAACATAAATATTTGAATGAATCAATTCATATATTAAAGCGATTTGATAAAATCAGATATATTATAAACAAATAATTACTCAAAATTAATATTTTATGTTTCTCAACTAACGAGGAGTGGTGAATGCAAAAGATCATATAAATTATAAATATTTAGTGATACGTAATTATTGATGTGTTAATTTAATAAAATGGTGCAATATGTTTTTAATAGCGTAAACTATAATATATATATATATATATATATATAATATGAATAACTAATAATTAACACACGACTGTAATATAATAATGAGTGCGTAAAATTACTGTGTCAGTTACATGAATGTCTATATAATCACATTTATTATGAGAATTAATTTGCATTTGACAGTGCACTATAGATACCAAATGATTTTAAAAATAATACCAATACAATGGCAGTAAGGCGTAGTGCAGCTTCTATAATGAAAGATTAGTCTATAAATTGCTTTTGAAGTAAGTGTATAACGTATAATTAACATTCCTATTAATAATACTGATAATAATCGTAATTATAATATATAACGCAGCTTTTTAATTTTATTTTTGATATTTTTTCTTTATATATGTATTTATATCTTTTACTATCTTAAAATTGTTGTTTTGATTAAAATTCGAATTATTATGCCGTTAAATTTAAAAATTATTGTTATTTGCAAGGTGCTTTTATTTAATAACTCGATATTTGCAGAAGATAAATAGCGAGAAAAAGTTATAATGAAATAGTTTTTTTTATATATCATTAATGCATTTTGAAATAGAAGAAATGTTTTGTATAACAATGAAGTTTCTTCTAATATGAAAATTAATATACTATTTTCTAATTTTTTCTATAATGAACAAGTTATTTATCTTACCAAGAACAACGTGAATCGATGCTGTAAATCATTGTGAATAAAATTCTAATTCTATGTGCATTGTTGTGATAAAATATTAAATTAAAAAGACTTATTAATATACGCAACTGTAATATGAAATTTGCGTACATGATATAAAATTGGAACATAATCAACATATATTAGTTTCTAGTTTATTTAGAGGAAAATGATGTTATAAATCTTACATGCTTCGATTAAGCATGTAAGCATGTCAAGTATTCCTAAATGTTACAGTCATGGAATTTTTGCACAATGTCACCACCGTGATCTTTAAATGATCTTTAAAGTTACAAACGAAAGATAAGTAGAAATAAAATTGTAACTAGTCAACAAAATAAAAGTAAAACCTTGTCTTATTCTTTTTTCTAATACAATGTAATGAAGAATTTGAAGTTTAATTATACATTGGATAAGTACAGTAATATTCCGTATCTTTTACTTTATTTTTATTATAATAAATTCTTCTACATGATTATGACTTGTTTAATATTAAATTCTTTCGTATTATTAATTTATACCGGTATTTTTTAAACTGAATTGTTTGTTTTAAACTGATTTTATATAAAACAACATATAATGATAATAAGTAATAACATTTAATGTTATCTTAATTTAAAATATTTTTATCAATATTACTCTATTTTAATTCTATGTAATGAAAAAAGGCATTTAATCACGTACAAAATGTCCATCTGTCTTTCTCAACTTCTTTACCTTTTCTATATCTGCCAATGGATACTGTTCTTTCACAGCTTCCATATCAAGGTTCGGGAAAATCCGCATCAAAGTAGCTACCCTATTTATTTGACGACTGAAACAACAAAGATTTTTACAGATTAAGAAGTGGTTCAGTTAAAAAATTATTTTGTAATTATACTGGAAAAATACATACTTTCTTGATTTACGTTTTTCATTCCATAATTTCTCTCTATAAAGTCGCAAAAATTTAGACACTGCATATCCACCATAACCAAATTTATGTGTTTTGTGCCATTCAGAATTTGCATGTTTTGGTCTAGAATACTGCCGCAATCGATAACGGTAACGCAAACCTATAAAATAGAATTCAAATATAACTGATGTATAACAAAATTTTTACATATTTTATAACGTATAAAATAAAAATATAAAATTTTACCAAGAGGACTATATCTTAATGATACGGGTCGTTCTCCAGTTGTTCCAGTTTCAAGCATGTAATATGCTCTATTCCTTTCACGAACTACTGACTCTAAGTTAGCCATGCTATCTTCAACTTTATCAATTCGTTCAGGATTTGGAAAATATTTATGTTCTTGCTTATAAATTTCTTCCATTGTTAACAGCATATTGCGTTCTTTTAATAACACATACCTATGTTAATAATTTTTATTATTGTAAGATATTGTTACATTTTGTAAGATTTGTGTTTTACCATAATTTATGAAGTTCTTCATTGCTTTTTAATCTTAGTTCATCTTTTCGCCAAGAACGGCCTACACGTACTTTATCTTTGTCCCAATTTTTTGGATCATCAAAAAATTCCATCAAGTCATTACGTTTAGATGTAGTGTGAATGAGACCACATTGTAAAGTAGGCATCCTAAATAATTTAAACCATTTCTGCATTGCATAAACATTAATTTTGCAACTTAATGGACATTTACATATTTACATGCTAAATTAATATAATTATTGTTATTAATTCTTATATGTTATAGATGAAAGTATACATCAAACATCAAGTATTAAATATAATAATTATAAAAATGTATAATCGTTTGAAAAAAAAATTACGTTCATAAAACTAATACTATACATATGTATGTATGTACATGCGTTTACGCTAAATAAAAAAAATTATTCAACACATAACCTTTAAATTTATTGAATTCACAATAACTTATTGAATAAAAATAATATAGAAAGAGTCATAAAAACCTTTGAATGAACATTGAACTTCTAACAGAGTTAATATTTTGCGATAAAACTAAATTTGTAAACAATTTCGTCACATTATTTACAGCTCTCGAAATCTGCACAATCTTGGTGAAAGTTGCCATTTTACCAAGTATATTTCGTTACTAACAATAAGATTTCTGATTCAACATTGACATAAAATTTAATGAAATAAAAGTTTATTATATAAAGAAATCATAACATATTAAATAGGATTTAATTAAGATCTAATTATGAAAATTCATTAATCTTTTTTTATTAACATTAATGAATATTAAATCGATTCACAGATATTGAAACACTATCATCGCGTAGTGGTGAAATAATGGAACTAATCACTATTGCTGTCCTTGTCTACATCTACGGTGCCATCTATATAAAAGAAAATGCAGCAGCATCATAAACAAGGAAGACGAAATTATATGACAAAGACAGATACATGTCTATAAAAAGAATCAAATTAGAATTGATTTACACTTTTTTAATAGTATTTTCCTAATTGGACCCTGAACTTTTATCCCATATTCTGTTTAACTTACAAAATATGTGAATAAATATTTACAAATTTTATTAAATAGATCGAAATATTCACTCCATTATTCTCTTCTTAACGTGAATGAAGTATAAGGAATATATAAAATTAAATTAAATTTATTGTAATAATTATAGTATTTATTATCACAAACTATCAGTTAGATCATATACAATAATGTAAGAAGAATTAATCGTGATTTTCGTAAGTTAATTTCATAACAATTTCATGACATGATTTAAAAAGAACCACCTACTTTTTAAATTAATGTACAATTTTTTTCATTAAAAAGTAGAAATTCGTTTACGTTACGTCAACTTTTAATAAGATAAAAATATTTAACAATATTCCATTGCCAATAAATGTATCAAAAAGTTGATTAAAGGCACCTTTCATCATTAATTATACTTACAATCATATAAAAATTATATTGCTTTAACATGCTACTATATACATTGGTAATTTAATATTACTGATATATGTATATGAATTCTTGACTGTTGCCTTTTTTTCCTCATGTATTACTACTAAGTTAAGGTGCTCGTGTATTTAAAAATCTTTTCATAAAATATATTTATATATTTTGCATATGTACGCAAATATTTATATATATATATATATATATATATATATATACGTACACATCAACGTATGATATATATATATATGTGTATATATATATATATATATATATATACGCGTATTTAAAATTTAAAAGATGAAACTACAGTTCATTCGGATATATATCGTCAATTTATTTCATTCATAGGAATTGCATATTTTGGAATGTACCACTAGCAGAAAAAAGAATAAAAGAATAAAACCACGTGTTACGTGGTTGTTAAAAATTGTTAAAACACTGCTGAGGAATTTGTTAAAAATTTGATTCTCATACAGTACCTGAACTGTAGTTTCTAAAGGCTAGATCGGAACTTGGTCGTTCGGTTGATTTTTATTAAAATATTGCTCTTCACATTGAGAAGATTATACACACACGTGTATATAAATATATATTTATAAACATATATTTATATTGTAATATATAATTCATAAATATATAAATATATACTTATATTTATAAACAACTGTTGGAGTTTATATAACGATAAAAAACGAATTCTTAAACAATAACAAAGTATACCACATGAAACTAAAATCACATAAACGTTCAATATCCAGGAGGATTTCTTGCCCGTCTTTTGACATTACAATTATTCCGATTGCAGGAACGTAACAAATGTTTCCGCATATCATCGTTCGTAACGTCAATTTCTGTTTGTCTCTCGCTGCTCATTATTTGCTCTAAAAGGATTCCATCTTTCGAGTATTGCAACACAGTGTAACTTACTTCGAAAGAAAACTTTACAAAAATTATGCGTTGTAAATCAGTTCAGTTATTTTTACGGGCAACAGTAAGTATAAATTCGTTTTTACGTGTTTTTATAATATAACATTACTGTACAAAATTTAAAATCTCGATAAACTTTCGTTATACCGTCCGCTGATACAATGAAGGTCACTTTTAATAGTCTTCTTAGTATTCTATACTTCTGTCACTAGTAGTTTAATTGCCATTCTTTCAAAAATCAGCGTAACGAGTTTAAGATAATTCTCTAATTAATTTTGCTTGAAATACTTCTGTTTTGTAACAACTTGAAATACTTCTGTTTTGTTCCCATTTCCAATACATAATTTTTTTTTTATATCGATAGTAATTGAATACGTTATTTCAGATTAACAAATAGATTTGATGCATAGACATATGGCAATTAACAGAGCGACACATGCGTCATCGCAGGCAAACGTTTCTGTACATAAACTCGCAGACTTAATACAGTGTATATTTAATAGGAAGTTTGGTCCGACAGTTCTGTACTAATTGCTGATTGCGTCTCGATTACACGTCTTCACATGTGAATCGTTGCTGCTGTATAACGTGCTTCTCCTCTTCGCCAACTCCATTGACTTGGTCGATACTGTTTAAAGGGAGAATAAAATATTTATTTAAAGTAGCCTATTCCTTTTTTCCTACTCATAACAAATGGTAATAATCCTTACCCTAATTAACATTTGTCCGGATGTGCTATGAGGATTGCGGTAAGCATACGCAGCCCATGCAGCTAAACCCACGACTAAACCAATTACAAGGAGAATTCCAATAATTCCCGAAACTCCCATGTTCATATTGTTCCGAGCTAAGAACATGTAAAAGTAAAATATCATTACGTCTGTATTGAACGATTGTAAATCTATATTAATATATATCAATAACTGGATGAAATTGAAATCTTACAACGCTCTAAAGGACTCGTTCCAGGCTTCTCTTGTTTCGCATTCATTTCGCTAACGGTAACAGTTTCTTCCGAATGCATGCGCAAAATATGATTGTACTCGTCGACATGTTCCTTACACGTTGTATTTGGTAACGGGCAATTGTCAACTTCTTTTATCATCCGAACATCGCATCCTTTCAACAGCCAATCTTGCCGCGATCTAGACGTTCCGGTACTGCATTGATTCAGTTCCGAGCACCACTTGCATTCGAAGCCTTTCAGTTTCGTCAAGCAATCTCTGCAATTATCCATTTCTAAACAGGTAGGCAATGCGTGCAGATAAATCACTGTCCAATTCTTAATGTCCTGCCGATTAAAGTTTACGCGATGATATTCGTAAATTGTCTTTCTGCGAACAACTGCGAGAAAAAGAGAAGAGAGAAATAATTCAGATTCAGTTACTGTCTTTTACAATTTACGAAATTTCTGACATTACAATGGCTGTAAAAGAAAATAGGACTAAACACTTACAGAAAACTATTCTGTCCATGATATAAGCGTCGCTAAGTCCAACTTTAACAGGATGCGCCGTGTCCTCGATGAGGTCCACTGTCAGAGGGATTACCGAGTACACAAACACAATGTCGCCGTTTTGATGCAGAGTCACTTGAAAAGTGAATGGTCCTGCATCAGGTTTGTCCTGCAATACCACTTTTTCCCATACAACCGTAAATGCTGTTCCTGCAATTTTCACACTCTCGTCTACTTAGAATTTGTATCTTCTTTATTGTAACTTTATTGTAACTTATTAGCGGTGTTTGTTACTAACCGTTGTCAACGTATTTCACGTAACTATCGTTAGATAGTCGCGTATCGAAATTTGCCATTAACGGCGCGATATATTGCGTGGCGGCTAGCCAGCTGTGAACGTACTCGCCTGTGTACAGGAATCCACCGGTGGCGATGGTGATGTTACGAACTTTGTGACCGTAGAAAGGGAAATCGAACTTCAACTTCACTGTCTATCAGGACAAAAAGGAGAGAAAAATTGATAAAAAGAAAAAAAGAACAAAAAATTGAATTCACGCTGCGAACGTCTTTACTTGTACACTAATTGTAAGTTTAATTTCATTTTCTTGAATTTCTCGGTTCCCTAAGTCTCCCTGTGTAATTAAAACGTTTCATTTCACCTCTGTCTTCGTTCAATTTCAAATATTCAGTCACTATTTCATAGCAGATGAGAACGGGGAACACTTTGAATAAATATTTCAACGTACATTGAAAAATGAGCAAATCCTCAAAAACCAACGGGATGGTATAGGCGAAGAAAAAGTGGCAGACGCGTGTTATACTCACCGCAGCTCGTCGATGGCTCTGGCTAAGTAAGTAATTGACTTTCAAATCTGGATGATTGTTTATATCCACCCAGTACTTTTTCCCCACAGCCTCGTCGATGATGAACGTGCTGTTGTAATATTGATGCGTATCGTACTCCATTTTCGTAATGTTGTGCTGGGACAAAGTCGTGTTACTTAACTCTGAAAACTTGCTGATGGATATGTCTCCGATATTGCTGTCGGAATCGTCTTTGCTCTCCGTTGGCTCTACCACGGTCTCTGTGCCTTTCGTGGAATTTTTATTAATCTCGGTGGTTCCATTCACAGAATTTGACTTATCTTCCAAAACTATGGACGGAACCTGTAAAGAGAGGGGCATAATTTTGCAATCTTAATTTAGGGTGTACGACGACAGGCACCTCTTGTATTTTCTAAATATTTATAAACAGCATTTTATAAATTTGTCACAAGTACAAATTGCTTGGCCGCTGATTTGACTTTGATGAGGAAATACGTCGAGTCTTACCGGTACTTTGGACGAGGAATTCTTTCCATAGATTGCTATTACCGGCGTTGACGTCTCCGGTTTGTTCCCTCTGGAGACTCCACCGCGTGTCACCTGTTTGCCCGACGAAACCGTAGTCGAGGACGGAGATGACGTAGCGAGCGTCGATTCTGTCGGGTAATCCGTCAAATAGGAAACGTTCGCCGGTATGTTCGAGGCGTTCACAATCGTCTGCGGTTGTTGTTGCTGCGGCTGCAACTGCGGCTGCGGTTGTGACTGTTGCGGGGCGACTTGTTGCTCTGGTTGTTGCTGTTGCTGCTGTTGTTCCTCCGGTGGGATTCGTTCGGTCGGAGGGTCCGGTTTCTCGTCTTCGATCCCTCGACGAAACCTCGCCAGAGCTTCTTCACCGTCGTCGACTGCATCCTCGGAGGGCAGGAAAGCAAATTTAACTGGCCCGTGCAACGACCGTCCTCCCGAATATCCCAATTCGTAATGGCATCGATCTAGAAATATTCGAGGTGAACTTTAGTCAGTAGAGGGGACACGTTTAACAAAATGAGAATTTTTCACGAG